TCCCCTTCCAGGACGAGGGGGGCGAAGAGCAAGAGCCGAGCAGCGACAGCGCTTCGGCGCAGCGGGACCTGGATGAGGTCAAGTCGTCCCTGGTCAACGAATCGGAGAATCAGAGCAGCAGCTGGGACTGGGAGGTAAAGGGATTCCTAGGGTCAGCCCCTCGGGGGACCCGGGACTCGGGTCCCGCTCCCGCTCACCCGAGGCCCTCGCCTTTGTGTCTCCTCCACAGGCGGAGAGGCGCCCGCAGCCCGCCCGGGACGCTTTCCAGAAGCCGCGCGACTATTTCGCTGAAGGTACGTCCCTTCTCCTCCAGTCTGCACTCTCCGGCCCGCAGCGATCAGCGCTACGGGTCCCCATGGCCCCGGGTCGCAGAGCCCCTGCTCTCCTCCCATCTCTGCAGCAGCCACTCTGGGGCTCACTCTAGGGTCACTCGGGTGCCAGATTCCCGCCTGGAGTTCCAAATTGCTGTGCTGTCTGGGGGACCCCTGACCTCACTCCGCTTTGGTTTTTGTCCGCAGTGAGAAGGCCCCAGGACGGCGCTTTCTTTAAGGGACCTGCGTATCCTGGGTACCCTTTCCTGATGATTCCGGACCTGAGCAGCCCGTACCTCTCCAATGGACCCCTATCTCCTGGTGGAGCGCGCACGGTAAGTGTCAATCCAGCTGTGCCCGGACCGGTGGGCGCCGGGCCCTGGGATGCGCCCCCAGGCTCGGCCGTGGTGTGGGGGATGGGACCTCCTGCGCCGATCCTGGGCAGAACTTGTTTGCAGAGTTAAACTCCCCTGTGGCGGCCTAGTATGAGACTGCACTGGCCGGTGCCGGGATGAAAGTAAAGATCTTTTCACTTCTCGCCTTTGGGAGCTCTTGGCCTGGTGGGTCCTCGTTCCAACCTCCCAAATTCCTTGCTGCTTCCATAGGAAAACTTGGATTTGTGCCTACTTTTGGAGGTGGGGGTGGGGGTCTCCCTTTCCTTCCTGGAGACCGGTCAACTTTCCCCTTGGCAAGGGGGAAACTTGGGCAAGGGCCTGGAGGAGCCTGGCTTGAGATGTTGTCCACTGACCTCTGGGTTCTCTGGGCTGTTGTGAGCTGTACAAACTCCTTATTTTGTGTGGATTATTCACGACTCCTGTCCCCACCCCCAATCCTCACACCAGGGTCTCAATTTTTTCTGCAGAACTATGGGTTTTAAACTCCTCTGAGATGGTTTGGAGGGCGAACCAAGGCATTCTTACTTGGCTTTTTCCCCCTTTTGTTGCCGGCTTTTCTCATTTAAAGCGAGCGCTGCGACACTTTAAACCTGTTAATGGGAACGCATTGTGTGCTGTGTGCCTGGCATTTAGAGCGGTGATTAAGCAAATTGACCCGGCCCCAGACAATGTGCAAATGAGGGCGGATTCCTTCACCCCTCTCTAGCTCTGAACTCCCGCCTCTCTTCCCCCGCGGAATGAGGGGGTGCAGTTTGGGGCTGGCAAGGCCTTGGAGCCGCTACTCCACACCCAGGTTTCCTGTGTTGATGATGGGTCGGATGTAGTCTTCTTGGGTGCACACCTTCCTGCCGTGAGGCCGTTTGCGCATCGTCTCAGCCTCCTACAGAGCTTTCCCGGTGTCTGCTAGTCTAGTTCGTTCTCCACGCAAAGCTCATGTAAAAGTTTATCTTAAATATGATTATAATCAAGGGCTGCCAGGGAAGACGTGGGTGCTCATTGGGTTGTTCCTGCTGTCATGTTAGGGTCCCTCCTTGGTGGAGCCGGATGGCCTCCATAGTTGGGGCAGTGTATGTGTTGATATTCACTGGTTGGGGTTGGGGGCAGTTCTGATGGATGAACTGGAAACACACACACACACACACACACACACACACACACAGACACACACACACACAGTTCTGATGGATGAACTGGAAACACACACACACACACACACACACACACACACACACACACACCCTTGCCCTAGGATGGGGGAAGACCCCCCCCACAGCTTTGGGCCTGCTGCTATTCAGGGCACCAGAAGAAGTCCTTTAGAAAAGTGGATATTGACTTAGGCCTTTGCTTTTGCTCTTTCAAGGTGAAGGTTTCAAGATGTTGGGGGGCTCCCCCTCACCCCATCAACTTGGTCTCTTATGCTTGCAGGTCCAGGAAGTTCCCATATAGGAAGAGAGAGCGCAAGAGAGCAAGAGAGGGCAGAAACAAGAGATAGAGAGAGAGAGAGAGAGAGAGAGAGAGAGAGAGAGTTAGGCTACTTTAGACCCATTTTCTGTTTTCCAATCAGGAGCCACTAATGCCCATATGTCAGCTCTGAGCCAGATGTTAGGAAGTTAAAAGTCACCAGAAACGTCCCAAGTAGGACTAATTTTCCTTTGACTGGAGATTTTCTCCACACACCATTTCTTCTTCTTCTTCTTCTTCTTCTTCTTCTTCTTCTTCTTCTTCTTCTTCTTCTTCTTCTTCTTCTGCTGCTGCTCATGACTTCTTCTTCTTCTTCTTCTTCTTCTTCTTCTTCTTCTTCTTCTTCTTCTTCTTCTTCTTCTTCTTCTTCTTCTTCTTCTTCTTCTTTTTTATGTGTTTGTGTGTGCATACACATGGATGTTTTTAAAGCTTATGACAGGGTACCTGTGCCGAGGTCCGAACACCTTTGGTGTCTTTCCTTCTGCCATGTGAGTGCCCATGATCCAACTCAGGTCATCAGACTTGGCCAGCCAGTGCCTTTGCCCACAGAGCTATCTCAGCCCACTGAGATAGGAATAGTACCTGACTCCATCTCAGCCCCATGCTGTATCTTATCTGACTTAACAGAAGTTCAGCTCTCTCAGAGTTTTGGAGTTTCTCACATGTCTTTCTGCTCAGTTTTGAAGTTCACTGATGTATTAGGAAAGTTTATTTTTAGTTTTATTCAATCCTTGAGCATCATGGCCAGTAAGCAAAAAGCAGGTTAGCACACTTGTTTGGATGCTATGTCTGCAATTATTATTTTCTTCTTGATAATCATATCAATATAATTAACATGATTTGCATGGGAGGCAAGTGGTCACAGAAAAAATTGGACCTCTGCTGTTTTCCATCGAAAGTGGACAGTCAGGGAATGGTAATACAGGATCTGGTAGGTTGGAAGACTCTTGGAATATATGATTCAGTCCATCTTTTGCTTTCTAGGTCTGCAGAGCTTTGCTGTTTTAAGGCCTATAAGTATTAAAGTAGGGGATCCCATTTCCCTGCTGTTCTGATTTTATGGAAATAACCAAACCTGAAGTCCAAGTGGAGACTGGCTGCAGTGTTTTCCAGTTATTCATGGATCTTAGCCGTTGCAGACGGGAGGCCTAAGCACCCTTCCCCACTGGTATCTTTGCTGCTTGGACAGCAGGAGCCAGCCAGTCTTGTAGCCAAGCTGTCTTTCTCCACGGGTTGTCTCTACTCCCCACTCTGGCTTGTTTGGGATTCTGGGAAACCGTATCTTCCTGAGACTCTTTAGGGGAGAGGTCACCTTACCCTGGGGTAAAGGCCAAGTTTTGAGACAGGGTCTCATTTGATAGTCCTGGCTGGCCTTGAACTTGGATTCTCCTGTGTTAGCTTCTTGATGTGTCACCATAAGTGTGCTTCTCTTTTCCTGGGGAACCTGAAGCTTATGGAGAAGGGACTAAACTGTCACATTCGGTACTATTCCTAGTCCTTGGAAAGGTTGTGAGATAAGGTCTTACTGTCTAGTCCTGGCTGAACTAGAACTGCTATCTAGACTAGGCTGACCCTGAACTTGCAGTGATCTTCTTGCTGACATGCATGCCACCACCCCTGACTACACCTTCATTCTAGAGGAGACTTTGTGCAGGTTTACAAAACCACATAGGTGATGTTGACTACAATTTTGCTAAGAAAGTATAAATTAAGCCAAGCATAGTGACACTTGCCAATAATCCTAGAACACCAAAGATGAAGAGAGCAGGGTCACTGTAAGTTTGAGGGCAGCCTGGGCTACCTAGCAAGAGCCTGTCCCCACAGCAAAAACTGATGAATGAAATAAAGTGGATGTCTAAAAATAGTGTTTAAGGTAAAGAACAGGGTTGGGTGTGGTTCTGCAGGACAGCTTCACACTGACAGAGTTTGTGACTACAATGTGAGTGGTTACCACAGCTCGGAAAGGGGTATGTCTACGAAGAGGTGTTTGGGAGTCACTATCCTGAAGCTCATGTTTTTGTCAGGCTGTGCAGATCACTTCTGTGGCACTGTCCTAGGCTTTAACTGTGTGCTGACTTGTAAGTACTCTCTATATTATGCTTCCTGAGGATCACTTGCCTACGTCCTTGGTGTGCTCCCTCCTGTTCCACCAGTAAGGAGAGGAGGATGTCAGGGGCCAGCCACCCAGCCACCCAAACTACACAGCAATCCATGGAGTAAGAGTAAGATTTACAGAAGTAAGAGAACAGGAAAAGCCTAGAGGCAAAAGGTAGACAGTTTAATTTAACGAAAGCTGGTTCACAACAAGCCAAGCTAAGGCCAGGCACTCATAACTAAGAATAAACCAACGTGTGTGATTGATTTACTTGGAGCTGGGTGGCAGGCCCCTTAAAAAAAGATCCAAAAAAGACTAAAGAGTAAAAAGCCAACAACACACCAGACAAACAGAAATAAGGTTGTTTGGGGGGAATTAATGTAACAACCAAGGAAAACCTTTTCTCTTTTTTTAAAAACAATTCATACACTGTTACATTTTACTTATTAAGTTTTTTGGGGGGGCACATATGCCATATCAGGACAGTGTGGGAGTCAGTTTTCTCCTGCCATGTGGGTTCTGGGGTTCAAACTCAGGTGGCAGGCCCCTTTAAGCACTGAGCCATCTAGCCAACCTAACCCCCCTCTTTTTTTTTTTTTTTGCAGATCAGTCTAAACATGCTGTTTTTGGTAAAATTCTTTTAAGTCATTTCATCTAAATATAACTTCTGTTCCATTTTTGCTAAATATAACTCTTGAGTTTAATGAGGGCTTTTCGAATAGAGTGAGCTTTTGGGAGTGCCCTGTCTGTGTTACTGAAATTTTGGCACTTGGATTGCTGGGGTGACATTTGGTTTCAAACCCTGAGGTAGGACTTGAGTCCTGTCAGTCTTTTCTTTGGGTAGGTGGATCTGGCAGGGAATAGAATATCTGATGACTTGCCTTGGGATAATTTTAGAAACCTATGGCTTAACCTCATTCTCCATTGATCTCATTTCTAGGGCTTCTCAAGGAGAAGGTGGTATATGTGTATATGCACACAGGTACACATCCAGCCATATACACATGTGCACACACATACGTAGCTATTAACAGTATTTCATCCTTAACATGAAACTAACGGAATTGCAATGTTTTGTTTGCTGTTTGTGCATGGTTGTTTTGCCTGCATGCATGTCTGTGCACCATGTGTGTGCCCTCAGATCTCCTAGAACTGGAGTTACAGGTGGTTGTGAGCCTCTATAGGTGCTGGGAATGGAACCCAAGTCTTCTGTAAGAGCAACCAGTCCTCTTAACCTCTTTACAGACTTGAAATGTTAACCAACAAAATTGTGGAATAAAAAAAATCAGCCCACTGGAAATGAGAAGGTTGCACTCATAGTCCTAGTGGAAGGTGACTTTTATTTGCTGCCCTGAGGATACTCAAAATTTGCATGCTTACAATT